ATTTGTTAAACTAATTCTAACTTCGATTGAGAGATCACTATATGTATATAACATGACTGGGTAGTGTTTGATAAACAATGACATATTGACATATACGAGTATGATATAGTATGCAAGCTGCATAGTAAATGCACAACCTGATAAATGTGATAAGGTGGCAACTACAAAAATCTTTTTGAAGTAGATACATGTAGGTACATTATAAATTCAAGATACCTAGAAGTTAATGATTTTGGTTAATTTTTTTTTATGCAACTTGGAATGGCAAAAAAGCTGACAGCCCACCTGATAGAAAATGGTAACCGTCGCCTATCAAAATGAGCAGTACCATGGACATTATAGTATACTGTTTCGCTCATGATACTTCCACATGCGTTGCCATTCCTGAGGAGTCAGGTGTTATTCCTCTGTACCCTGTAAATTCACTGCCATATCCCACCCTTCAAACCGAAACACAGCCATTCAAACACAGCTGCTTCACGGTAGAAACACGAATAGGACAAAGGTGCCCAAGCAAACCATTTTTGTACAAAGTCTCTCTCTGGTAATAAGCAATACATTCTTAAAATAGATTTAAATAGGAAGAAAGAAAAGTTAGAAAAGAAAATTATTTTTGTTACAATAATGTAGGTGGCTAAATATACTCATATTTACTTGTATTACTTGAAATTATATTCGCAATATTACACATGTATTTTCACAATCTAAAAAATCTTAGATCGTGAAATGATATTTACAATATTACAAACATATTTATAAAAAATCAATAAGTAGTAAATTCGTGTTTCCTTGAATTCTTTATATAGCGCTACATTATTTTTCTTGTAGTATATATTTTGAATTGGATTTATTGAAAGATGCTATAAAAATATAGAATAATGTACCTATATAAACAAAAATGTTATATTTAAGTAAATTCATTTGAAGGATTCTTAATAGGAAAAGAATTATTAACATATTGTAGGTAATTTTTTTTTTCATTTCCTTCTACGCATAATCAAAGTATAGAACAAATTCCCAGCATCAATATTTCCGAACAGATACGATATTGAATGCTTCAAGAGCATATTCCTTCCTAAAAGGTAGGGAGCACCTGTAATTTCATTGATGTTGCCGGGTGGCTGTGGACGGCGGTAATCATTTACCATCAGGTGAGTCGCATGTTCATTTGCCCCCTACGTTATAAAAAGAAATTTAATACTGGCAAAGAGGAGAAATACATTTTTTTATATTTCTTTAATAATATATTGTATTTAATTTATGTAACTGATTTTCTTTGAAAAGGCTGTCCATATAAGGGTTGTATATATTTGGGACGGTCAGATTGAACTCCATATGTCTTCAGCAATTCTACTAGCGGACGCAGAGCTATCGCTTATAGATGTCTTTTTTATGCCAATACGATCCCAATTTAATCTACATTATAGATAAAATATCTACAACAAAAATATGCAGGCATCTTGATCTGTACTCTTATCTATACTCTATCTACAATCTTTTTCGGATCAATGGTTTAGGGGTCGGATAATTGTTGAATATTAACTATCGTGAGTCATATTATGCTACAATTATTTACACTGGCTTTTACGCGAGTAACTTATGGCTCAGCCAGGAAACGTACAAATGAATAAGGATTCCCATCGTATCTAAATCTAGTTGAGCAATTCCGACGATTATATATGATAATTAATAAAGCCTTTCTATCGAATTTAACTTCAAAATTTGCTCGACTGGTAAGTATTGAAATTATATTTCAATTATCAAATGATTATTATTTTTAATTAAAATTATTTTCATATTTTCATTATTACAACTAGAAATTCCTTTTGGGTTACAACTTTATTTAAAAACTAAATTATATGATTAAGTAACTTATTAAAAAAATATATTAGTAAAAAGAGCTAATAATTATTATAGCTTTAATATCCACTGTGTTTGACCACCGTGCTAGTCTAATTATTATTACATTTTGTTGATTTATGACGTATTCGTATAGTTAATTTTGGACAGCATTATTTTACGTCCTACATTAATATCACACCAGTAGATATTATTTATGTGTGTAATTACAATATTTCAACATCTATTTATAGCGATGTAGTATATTATCGTAACGATACATTATTTATAGAGCTATAAATATTATAATTTTCCTTATTAGACCACATTTATGATATGGTCTAAAAAGTTTAAATTTGGGCATATAAAATTGAGGAATGGATAGCAGCGTCTATTTTAAAATATGTTGCCAATCCGCACACCAAGCGTGGCAATTACTGACAAAATCTCCCAAAAGGGAGGCTTATGTTCAGCAGTGGACAGTTTAAGGCTGATATGATGATAATGATTATTTAAATTGTTGCTGGTTGTTTGTATTTTAAACTGTAATACCGTTAAAAGTATAGTTTAATGCTATTATCAAATTATCTAAAAATTTTCTTACTAAAAAGGAGCGACTCAGTCATGTCACAATTTATATGGAAATGACAAGGACGTAAATCTTATCGAAAGAAAAAGGGATGACAATAATTAGGGACGGTATCTCGTAGTATACAAATTGAGAGCCTCTTCGATTTTAAAAAATATTCTGTTCTCTTAATATATATTGTAAAATAAATCTGCAATAAAGTATTATTGACATTAATAATTATATATCACTTCACTATAGATAATAGGACTTTGTCGTGTCAATTTTCATTTCATTTGTGATGATATAATTATATATATGTATTTATTAAAAGTAATATTATATTGAGATTCGTGTAACAATGAGCAATATAATTATATTTACTGCACACCAATTTGTACAAAATTTAAAAGATTTCTAAGTGCATGAATTGGAAGCAACTATTTAATGGAATTTATAATTCCATTAACTAGTTGCTTCTAATTCTGTGTGTGTCGTCTCATTTGGCAGTTCAAGTTCCAGGTCTAATTAAGCTCTTTATAGTTAGCCTTTTAATATCCGCGTTGAAAAGGCACAAAGAATTCCTTTTCAAGTTGTTTTGTCATTAGCTATATTATTAATAGATATATAACACTACGCTAACCTGACTGTTTTTTCCTATCAATAATGGTACTTTTGACTATTTCTTCAAATAGGTACGTATGCTAATAATGTTATCGTCTTACACATCTACTTACGAACTCACGTGCGAATCGTTAAATAAAACGTTCAATATCATGAAAACGGTAAAGAGGTTATGAGATAGCATATAAGGTGACAACTGTCGTTCGAAACCTCCGAAAGGTGCCAATAAGACTACGGCTATATTATTACGTAGGTAACCAAGGAGCGAGTTTCAGTCGAAAGGAAACGAGGCCTCAAGAAGTCGTGTGCCAAAGAAACTTTGTGTATAAAGAGAAAATCGCTATTTTTCTTGTTAAGCTAATTCAATTCTTTTGCCAAATGTTCAAATGCGCATGAAGTTAGCATTAATAACCGTTTTGGCGACGAATCTACTTGAAATGATAAATCGTATATACTTGCTCAATTTTAAAGACGTTTATCGTTCCTGTATCATAAACTATATAAATCTTTTTTATGTAAATAAAAAAATGTTGAAGTATGAATATATATAAGTTGATAATTTTATTTTCTTAAGTGATCATGAAATTTGATAACCTGATATAATTTTCATTAATAATTTTCTTATGTGAAATCGCTCGTATGCTTTCACTTGGTCCTTATTCGGTTATTGCCTGCTTTCGTAATCGAAGCTAGAATCAGTAATGGCATAATATCTCGAATACTTATCACATTATCCGAACACATACATTACATGTGTGTTTTACGGAAATCCTGCGCGTTTACTGTAGGAAATTTAGTTGCTTATTTCTTTTACATAAAATAATAAGGTAATTTATAATAAAGATATTAATAAACAATATACACTTGTGTGGTATGATAAAGATATCATATATAATTTGTTTGAGTGCGTGTAAAATAAAAAAAAACTGTATATTTTTTTATGTTACAATTGTTTGATGACTTTTATTTGATGACTAGCTGACCTGGCAAATGTTTGTTTTGTCCTCTACAGCCACCTGCCGGGTCCATTTTTTAAATCGAGATAAAAAATATCCCAATTGGTTCGTATTGATTAAATTGATTAGCCGGTTTCGGAATTTAGCGTGAATGAATATTATGACATGAGATTTTTATATATTAAGTATAAGTCAATAAATATAATTCTTGTGAATAAGTTTTCACGATTCCTCAGAAATTTAGTTAGTTAACTTGGAAATTAAGCACCAACTGAAATGTTCCTCTTGTAAAAGGAATCTTCAAAATTGTAAAATAAAAGTAAACACATATATCGTCTGATACAAATTTATTCTCATTAGGGTGCAAGAGAGATCGGGAATCTCTTTCTACAATCAGTGAGATGCTTAATTAATTCACTACTAAGGTAATTATTTAGCTAATATCGGGGAATCTAATTAAATTCCATCGAGTCGTTTCATTCAGTGAAATCAAACAGTAAAGGTATTTTCTTTATATGTGTAGATGAAAATGTTTATCCAAATACGTCAGAAGATGAAGAAAAAACAAAATGATGTTAGTTGTTTATACAATTACCTACAATTACTATGGCTGACAAACATTGCTAGTATGTCAAATTATTAACAAAAGGGCACACTCATAGATAAATAATAATATTTAACTTTATTTATTGTTTTCATATTTTGCTTTATAAAAGTACCTATTATGTTGTTTAAGTAATTTGAGATTAAATATATTTGTCCGCAATTCCAAACAATTGTTAAAAGACAAAAAGGCAATTAAAATTCCCCTTTTTACATTCTCTCGGAATTGTCGAATGAAAGTAAACAGAATATAAAAATTGATTGTTAAATGTAAATAGTCGATTCGGGCCAACTGTTATTAAATATTCAAGCTCAGTGAATATTTAGTAACAGTTTCTTGTATTTAGATGCATAAATAAAACTTTCATCTCGCCATTTTCGCTACTGAATAGGTATAATCATTAATTTACCTTTCTGGGATACAATCCTTTCTTTGTTCACTTCATAATTTAATTTCCGCACTTATCAAGTGTCCGCGGCGTGATTAAAGACTGAACGGATCGGGTCGTAATCAGGAAATAGCAATCTACGAGAGTTTATAAGGTTGTGTTCATAGTGATGGGATTTTGGTTTCACTGCGCCTGAATATGCGAGAGCACGGCAAACCGCCAGGCGTCTAGACTTGGCTGAACGGTACAATCACTACAAAGGACAGCGTGTGCGTAAAACTGTGTCTCTGCAGCCATGGCTGAGTGCTCCGGGCGTCCGCCGCTTACCGACTGACGTTGGTGTACACGACACATCTGCATTTAAGAAGCCGCTATCGTTATGCGACTAATCGATTGGTCGGAGCGAGTGAAACTGTCTGCTATCCTGTTCCTTAAGTTCTCTCACTCCTCATTCGCGCATGCTCAATACACGTTTATTCTGTTTTAAAAGTAGCGGAAAGTAAATAAACTCATACGAACTGTTTGTCAAGAGGAGAGGATGCAGTGGAAACAGGAATTACACACAAAATTGCCATGAAACAAACATCGGTATATAATGCTGCTTTGTTTCAGTGTTCACATAAAGGAACTGATGTTCTTTGAATATATTCATCTGTAAGAAAAAGCATATACCTTACGAAGGAATGACGAAATGTCACTTGTTGCGCGGCGACTTTGTTCTGCCGATGAAAAGCCACGCACGCCATGGCACGCCACTTATTTCCTTTTTGTTATTTTGTGGTAATTAATTTGAACATATTATGCTTACTTAAATAGCACAATCATCATCTCGTGATATGTTGACTTCATAGATTATTAGTTACGACAGCTGGTGACAAGTAGAAATTAACATTTTCATGTTATTAGCATTATATACCTGATTATTTTTTTGTTAAACGATATTCAACTTTGTGTACATAATTGAAAGTATATCTTCAGTAGTATGATGTGTAAGTTAAAATTGAATTACTAGATAAGTGAATTATTATATTGCTTTATATATTATTATTTATTACATTTATATATTATTATACGCTCTCGTTCAATTAAATTTAAATGATTCATTGTATGTAGTATATAAATCTTTGTCTTTATTTTTTTATCAATACATTAAGCATAATATTTGCCTTATCTCCGAGCGCTCCAATCCGCGATGATATCCGAGTTTCTTTCTTCACAGTTCAGCTTCGTGATATCAAAAGAAGCTCAATCTTTACGCGTTATTTATTTTTACAAAACGAGAAATTCTTTCTTCCGTATTGAAGTTTTTTTTTATAATAATTCATTCTATTATTATACTGCTAAATAGACCTGAATGGTTTCTAAGGGTGCATATGTAAGAGTGATGTTATGTATTTCTGTTTTCATAATAGGTACTAAAGGAATTTAGTTAAATATTAAAAAAATATATAGTAATTATAGATAGCAAATGTGATTTAAGACTTTATAATAATGTTATGCTGTATATTATTTAATATAAGATCCCAACGACTAGGATTTTGTTTTAAGTTTCTACGTACTTACGAATATCATTTCTATTTTGAGATGGGATTATTTTTACAAATATACATCCGTTTTATATCATTGAATGTTAAAATGTGTAATAATAATTATATTATTATAATTAATAGGCTCTGAATTGAAGAATTTTTAAGCTATAAAAAAATTCTATTTTATAATTACTTAAAATTCAATATATTTAAAGACCGGATTTAAAATTATCGACTAAAAAATAATTTGCTTCACAAAAAAAAAAGCGATATTATCTATGGTACAACATCTCACAGAATAGTTAAATTAAGTATATTTTAATTGAATACGTGAAATCTTTTGTTTTGGATAAATACGTAAGTATTTATTTAAGTAATTTTATGAACCAAATGCGAATATGGTACAAGAGACGGGCTTAACGTTAATGTCACTCTTTGACTGTCAACTTTTAGATTGAATAGTGAACCACGAAAATTGCTTAATTATTAAGATAGTAGAAATAATAATAGTAAATATTTATATTAAAACAATGTGTAATTGTAAATTAATTATTAATACTTATAATTATTTTCCTTAATGTTTTATTCTGTTAATTTTCTTAATTATACAATACCTACTTGTACAACAATTAGTCCATTACCCTAAGGTTGTCTTGAAAAGATTGCTCTCAGCAATAAGGCCGCCTTACTGTACTTATACAATTGTATCGTTATACTTATTAATTGTGTTGTTTTTTCCCGTATATTGTATAATGCAAATAAAGTATATTCATTCATTCATTCATTCATAAATACAATGTGTATTTATGTTAAATTATAAACTGCTAAAGTAATATTTACTACCTATATTTCGAGGCTTTGCCGACGTAAAATAGTATATAAAGTGTCCTATGTTTTAAGTTAAGAGAATCTATCCGAGTACTAGATTTCATTCGCATTCGTGCAGTAGTTTTTTGGAAGACTACGATTAAGATACATCCACATATACATATATCTTCAGAAACTTGCGAATATACATTATCATTATGATAAACGATTTGCTTTCATTATACGTATATATTCTAAATACGAATACTAATAATAGTACTGAAGAGAATTCTCAATACAAAGTTACTTTTTCGAACCCAATAGACCACTTAAACTTTGACCCTTTCTCGTTAGCAATAAAATTGGGTGGTCCTTTTGTAAATACGCAAACGCCCTTTCATTCGAACGATCCTTTGATGTGCTTCTCTTATCTGCACTACTAATTGATACATTTACGAAATAAAAAATCAATGAAAATGGAAATTAACAACATGTTTCTTGTTTTTCTGTAGATGATAATTTATATATTAGTTAATGATGCTTATTAATATTATATAGTTGTATTATAATCGATTATTAGGTTTATGCCCCTAAACTGTCGGAGGAAAAGGGATTTTTAGTAATGAGATTTAACAGGCCCATTGTTAGCAATACACCCTATCAGGTCGACCTCCAAGCGGTTCTCTCTGGAAACCATAGTGGTTAATTCTTGTTCACTACGGGTTTTGGTCACTACGGGCCAACTTAAAGTAATTAATATACTTGCAATAAAGAACATGTTAAGTAATTTTCCGTCCCTTTTAATTCTTAAAATGCAGTTATACCGAACGAGTGACTACTTATCCACACTTCTACGAGTTTTGTTTACTGTAAACGTACTAAAAGCATTCGTTGCTCAAATGCATTTGCGAAGAATTTTGTAGAATGCTCTAAGAATGCATTACTTTGCTCTTTAATTCTTCAGATATAGGTACAGACAGGTATGTAATATGCTCTAGCTTTTACTCTTCGTTCGTTAAATGCACCTTTATGCAAACAATCTATGTACCAGTAAGTAATGTCCTAGTTTCTATACTTAATTATTTTATTATTATTAATGAAAATTTCACTTAATATTTTACACTAACTATTTTATATTTAAATGATTTTTCTACTATTTACAAAGGATTATAAAAGAATTTTTTAATTATATTTGAATGGATCGAAAATCTAATCATAATCTTAAACAGTACTGTAGTATTATCTCTCAGAGGTAAAAAGTATAAAACCGCCAAGAATACGTTGGATATTATTGTACATTGATATAACTTTGTAGATAGAGAGACATAGAGCTACGTAGCTACAGAACTACGCAGCTTCAAGAGGTTCGTACTGCAGGAGCTTACAGAGCTAATCCATGTATAGATATTTAAATATTTCACTTATAAATAATGAATTATAATTTCAATTATAAACAACAATATTGGTCGGCAGAGGTTATAAATAGATTTTACTCCGCGAATTTAATCGTGACAAAATACTGGCCAGTAATTACAATATACTTATTTTAAAACGAATGAAAAACTCTGATAAATAACGAAATGTTTCATAAACTATTTAGATAAAAAAATATTTCAATTTATAACGTGGAATCGTACAGTAAATGAAAATAAACTTTATATATCAGTAATATCAAATACTTTATAATTTTTTTTAAATATGAAGTAAAATAGCGGCATCAATCATGGCGAAATTAGCATGGGACCAATATGAAAGTAAACATTGTCGGATGTAAAAATAAATTATTAAAATTGTTTTAGAATTAGCAGAAAGAATACGTAATATTAACACGAAATAAATACAAATTTATTTTTTGACAAAATTTATTTCCCCTTTACTTTTATCCTTAAAGCTATTGCTTTTTTATTGTTACTTATTGAAAAGTATAAAGTATCCAAGTGTGTATTAAACATAATGATTGATAGAGTTTCATAGCTATAAAGCTAGGTGGCAATAAATCCAAGTGATAATGGCTTTTATTATATTTTTGAAAGTAATTTTATTTATAGACATTTATTATTTACTAGTTATTGCCTGCGGATTCGTGCGCGTGAGTTACGGATGTAATTATCTATTTTTTTATACATAACTACATAAAATATAGGTGATATCATGTCTAATCAATTTATACAATAGATAGGTATATAAAGGTAAGTATTTTTTTTTATTGACAAAAAATGCACAGAATGCACATTTCCTATAACTATAAATTTTGTGTAAGTACTTCACAAATATGCTAATTGTCACAAAATAAGGTGATTACATCGTAATAGCTGGATACATTGAATGTACTTTCTTCGAAAAATAGCGCAATTTGCGATCTAGTGGCAAAATATCGAACTAATTCATATTAGTAAATTAGTTCGGAAGTGACTTTATACTAAGAGCACATGTACGAGAATGATACCGATATTACGTAATACTATTCATCATCTTCATCATATCAGCCATTAACTCCTTACTGTTGAACAAAAGCCTCCACTTTGGGAGGTTTTGCCAGTAGTTGCTACACTTGGCAGGCGAATTGGCAATCGCAGGTAGGCTTTGGAGATGTCTTAAGAGCGACGTTCCTGCCCATCCCTCGCCTTCTCTTAGTCGCCTCTTACAAGACCAATGAGAAAAGAAGGGGTGACCTATTCCATGCCAGGACAACACGGAAACAAAATATGATTACTTCCTAATATTTTTAATGAAAGAAAACTATCCATTGATATAAGACAAGGGTCTAACAAATTTACATTTAGAAAAAATCTATAATCTCTTATGAAAAAGCTGTGAAAGCCGTTCATCATAATCCTCATCTAAATCACCTTTGATCTCTGTCGTTGCTTTATTGGTATTAAGATATATTATTATATATGTTTGTTTAATTATATTTGTACATATGTTTTTATGATATATATTTGTATATGTAAGTAATATTTGTTTAATATATCTAGGTAAGTATAGGTATATGATCATATGATGCAGTA